AACTCTGTGTGGGGAATCTTCCTAAGGCACCCAAGTATTTAAAAAACTGCTCCCGCTCATATTACTCACAGGACACTCCTGTTCATCTTCCCTCCAAAGTTAAAAGTGTTGGCTAGTTAGGAACCTTAATGTACATGAAGACATAGTTGAGGATCATTAAAAAAAACAAACAAACAAAAAAAAAACAAAAAAAAAAACAGAAAAAAGCAGAACCCAAAAGGAAACTCTGTAAATGTAAAGCACTATGTCCAGATAGCCTAGGCATCACGGCTTCACTAGCTACACAGACACATCACGGACAACACGTAGAAATAGTCACGTTAATCCCAAGGTTTCCGTTGTCAGCAAAGAGGTGCGCTATGGCCGTGTCGAACACCAGGCAGTCACTGTTGAGGATGGCGGCGGACACGCCGTCGTGGATGGAGCGCGGCGTCGCCTCCCACGTCAGCCGGCGCCGGTTGCCGTTCAGCTCCAGTCTGTACGCGAAGTTCTCCGCCTGCTTGCGCGTGCCGATGAGCAGCACGATGGCGAAAAACTGCTGGTGCCCCTCGTACTTCTCCTGCTTCTCCAGCACCAGCATGAAGTGGTGGCCAAAGCAGGACTGCATCATGACCCAGTCCACGGCGCCCGGGAGGTTAATGTCTGTGGCCAGGAAAACGATGTCTTCGCCCTGCAGGGTGGTGATGCTCTTGTGGGCGTGCATGAGGTGCGACATGACGGCCTCCAGAGAGCCCTGCCACTTGCAGGAGGCGCCGGGGCACGGGCAGGAGTAGGGCCGGTACTCGCAGATGTCTTCGTGCTCTGGCTTTTCTGTGTGGTGGAGCGTCAGCGAGCAGCCCGTGGTGGCGTACTGCGAAGCGAGAGAGACACCGTGAGGGAGCGCGGCCCGCGACGGGGAGCCCCGCGTCGCCCCGGCCCCGCTCCCAGCGCAAACCCTGCGGGCAGCCCCGGGCTCAGAGCTGAGCTTTGGTCTGTGCAGGCCTCGCTCCAAATAGGTTCTTCTGCTGCGCTTTGTGGTTGCCTTCCTAATGTGAGCACTTAGATGGAAGGGATTGTTAGATCTGATCAGGCCAGGCCAGCTGAGGTGGCCGTGCTATGGATTTTCTTGTCTTTATAAAGAGCAAAGGATTCCAGCTAACATCTACTACAGTGAAATATTTTTAATAAATATACTCTATTACCATCACAGAGCAAAAGCACTTCCATTAAATTCCAGTGCAGAATCCCGGCAGTTTTAATTCAGTTCCAACGCTAAAGCAAACGCGCAGGTGAGTCTTCGCTCAGCACAGGCTGGGAGCACGGTGACGCAACGCGCGCTCCGAGCCCCCGGGCACCTTGCTGGGCACTTCCTCTTTTCGCAGTGGCTCTGGCCGTGCCCCGGGAAGGAGCTCCCCGCGCAGCGCGTGCGGAGGCCGAGCTCGTCCCCCTGTCCAGCCGCCCTCACCGCGGTGTGCCC